AGTTAAGATATTTACTTATTTACTAATTTTTTGTCCTTTTGCAGAACGGTTTAAACTAAATAATTGTATTGTAGTAATTTTAGACCAGTGTAAAAGGGAAATTCTAAAATGTTGCACATAGCTATTAATCACATATAACAAAATCTTACGGCTGCCTTAAAAGGTATGAAAGATAACATGGTTGAGTTTAGCCTGAAATTGCAAATGACCATATTAGTTGAAGTCGAGGACTATAATTTGTTTGGTGCAACACAGGGGGAGGGAATAAGTCAAAGAGATTAGTCCAGATTAGTTCTTTTAATGTTGTAGAGTGTTGATAAATTTTGCCTATATCTTCGAGACTACAGACTTCCCACCTTGTTTCAAGATAAAGAGAATGTCTTCAAGTGTATTTTTGTTGTGCTGAAACTATTCTTGCCGCTTCAAGTTATAGTTTTTCCCCCAATTTTTCTAAATCGATTAATGTACATTCATCCCAGACTATACTGACATATTCCAAGGTGGGCCTAATGTAATTTGTATGTAATTTTGATAAAATTCGCCTGCTATGTTTGTATTTGAGTTTTCAAAGATCTACTATTAGAGATGATGCTGTTTTGAAAATGCTACCAATATGACAAGTCGATATAATATCTGGTAATCCTAGATGGCGATGAGAATCAACATACTTACGATCAATATTTTCAAAACTAATTCACGAATATTAACGTTTGTGTTCGTGAAAACCATAGCTACTGTTTTTTCTTTCTGGATTAAGCTTTAAGAGCCATTGCTTGGAATAATAATAATAATAATAATAATAATAATAATAATAATAATAATAATAATAATAATAATAATAATAATAATAATAATAATAATAATAATAATAATAATGATAATAATAATAATAATCATCATCATCATCATCATCATCATCATCATCATAATGATACCGATAATAATAATAATAATAATAATAATAATAATAATAATAATAATAATAATCATCATCATCATCATCATCATCATCATCATCATCATCATCATCATAATAATAATAATAATAATAATAATAATAATAATAATAATAATAATAATAATAATAATAATAATAATAATAATAATAATATAATAATAATAACACATGTTTCAGGAATAGTAAGTAATATTTTTTTAAAAAATAACTAGAAGTTCAAGATAAATTACTGAAATAGTAATTGACGGACAATGAGCATGATACGAAATAAAGCGCATGTGTTTTCTGGCGATCCTCTATGCAATTTTGTGTCCTCTCCCTACGCCAACCAACTCAGCAGACAGATGTATGTTAAGATTCTAACAAAATAATTCCATATTAATTACCTTTATAATATGTTGTGACAACTTAATAAAGTCATCATGATGTACAGATTGTAATTTGAAAGTAGAAGTAGTTTTGGTAAAACAAAATGTGTTAATATGTGTTTGTGTTAAATTAAACATATACATAAACATGCATGTGCTCATCGGAACACTTTCATTGTCAAACTGCAGTTTCGTAGTTAAGTATTCATTGCAAGTTGCGAAATTGACGATTCGAAAAAAAAGAGTTCTTGCAAGTAGTGCGCAATCCCGAAATCCCGGACAAACTCGGTTATTTCTGCGAGATAAAAATATGCCTCTGACGTATGACAGAGCAATAATTTAGATTTAGTAAACCGAGAATTTGTCCACAAAATCAAAAATCTCAGTATATTCATACAGCCTCGGCAAATCGACTGTAGATTTGACTGAGAAATTGTAAATGAAAAATAAGTCAATGCATTCATTAATTCTTAGTCATTTCTTGAAACGTAGATAACTCATATACAAAGTAGCAACTATTGACATATGTTCTATACAGGATTGACCTCAGACTTTCAAATATAAATGGAAGTTATCATTTTTTTTAAATATTAGAACAATGGAAGCTTGCGGAAATCAGCTTAGTCTGGTTCCCTGACCACTCTCCACTACGTTGCTCTTCGTTATAACGAAGAGCAACGTAGTGGAGAGAGGTCAGGGAACCAGACTAAAATCAGCTGGCCAGTTGTAGCACCGGGTAGCAAATCTACCTGGATTTGAACGCAATCACTAGATGCAGCATCCGATTATCTGTAGTGCTCCACCTAAGTCATTCGTTGTTTCTATCACACCACTAAATACTTAGAGCTATTAGTTCCCAACCCCATGCCTGTCTCTGTATCTGTCCTTCTCCCTGTCTGACTGATTGTCCATCTGTCTCTGTCATGTTTACACTGTGCTGCCTTTCGATATACGTGTATATAAAATCATTGACACCTATAGATTCTTACTGCTACGAATGGTCACCATGACAACAGTACTCATCAAACGCATTCGACGCATGATTTGGTCACAAATGTATGATTTAATTTCTGTAAGCTTGTGTCTGCCTTGAAAAAAGACAACTTATCAGCCCTTACAAATACATGCTCTAAACCATCCGTTTAAAGCCAAACAATTCGTCAAATTCGTGTGGGTCTGATTACCTGGATATCTTCACACGCTTAACATGATAGCATCATGTTGTCTTACATCTTACACAGTAATACGATAACCATACATCATTTGTAGGACTCACGGTACTAATAATTCAGTTCCAATAGTAAACCTATGCAAACATCATGATATTAAAAATTCAATAACTTAAAATTTCAGTGCCTATGATCAAACCTATATTTATCAGTATAGATGGAACTTGGGTTTCAGCTTCTGTGTAAAGGAAATTATATGAGCTGCTGCAATTTTTGGACCTGCATGTGTTTGAACCATGTGACTTCAATTCCGCACCAAATAGTAAAGTGCTAATATGTGTGTGTGTGTGTGTGTGTGTGTGTGAGAGAGAGAGAGAGAGAGAGAGAGAGAGAGAGAGAGAGAGAGAGAGAGAGAGAGAGAGAGAGAGAGAGAGAGAGATTTTTAACGTAGCTTTAACAATTTTTCAGTTATATCGCTACGATGTCTGCAGTATGACAGTTTATAGTGATGTCTAGCACTGGGGCATCATGCCGTAGACATGTGGCATGATATCCCACCCAGTCACATTATCCTGACACCAAGCCGACCAGTCCGAACACAAACCTCTCAATGCTAAGCGACAAGCAAGGCAGTTGTTAGTACCATCTTTTAAAGTCTTTGGTATAACTCGGCCGGGGATCGAACCAGCGACCTCCTGCATCCAAGGTGGACGCTCTAACCACTAGGCCACCGGAGCGGTTAATAATTTTAGAAATGAGTATTCCAAACTCAAGACTGTTAAAGGACTGGAATTCCATCAATAAAACAATATTTTGTTCACTTACAACTACGATAAGGTCTCAAAAGATTCTTTTTCCTAAAACGTAACTTACGTTATTAACCAATCCTGGCCAACCAAACTCATATATACTATATTAGATGTTCACCCATTTCCAGGCTGGTTTCCATTTTTCCATACCATTAGTACCAAATGTCCTATATTCATCCCTGATATTCTTGGCAGCCCTAGGAATAGTAGATTAAGAAGTAAGTAAGCAATGTGCATAGTTCTGCTTGTCAAAGATTATATTAGTGAATATTAAATTATATTGCAAGTTCAATTTTACCTAAAGACCAATGGTGCATTTTAGGCAAGATTTAAATATATCAGCTTTATTTAAGAAAATCTGGAGAAAAAAAATTTAAAATAAAGCTGTCTAATAAGAGTCATCCTTTTTTATCACCATTTATCTTTCTTCAATTTAATACTGAAATATATTACCAGCCGTGTCATATTATGTAAGTAAAAGGTGAAAAGTCAGGGTAACCATCTATATGTACATGTATTTTTACAGAGAAAGAGATTTAAATGACAAAAAATCCATAAGTTTCCTCCCAGAAGAAATATAATTTAAAACTAAAGTAAGATAGGCATATATCCAATAAAATAAAAATTATGAAGTTTCAAAATATTCATTTAATGATTTTAATGGGATTCAAAGTCATGAGCCGTCATCCCCAATGAGCATGGTGGAAGAGACCTAAATGATCATATCTGATGCATTATGTTTCAAAACACAACTAGTAAATATCATATTGCAAAATATAATTGCTCAAAAGATCATAAACTTTATAAATTTGATATATGTATTGCTTAGATATGAACAAAAGTGCAAAACACTCCTCCTAACATAGTCAAATGTACACCCTGTTCCTCCTCCCCCTTCTTGGCAACAGTTGATATATCTGCATATGTGTTTATCTCACTGAAAGTCATTCTGTGATTTACAAGAGGTATTACTTTTGCTTGTTATCCACAAATAGAACCATACGACTGCGATTATAATAATGTTAATTACACCTGCATATGTGGAGTCACTGTATTGATGTAACTGTCTATAGGAATTACAGTACTAATTCAGTTCACAAAGTAAACCCATGCAAATACCATGATATTAAAAATTCAATAACTTAAATTTCTTAGTGCCAATGATCCAAACTATATTTATCAGTATAGTTGGAACCTGGGTTTCAGCTTCTGTGCAAAGTAAATGATATGAGCCACGGCAATGTCTGGACCTGCTTGTATTTGAACCATGTGATTTCAATTCTGCACCAAAGAATAAGGTGCTAATTTTAGTAACGAGTGTTCCAAACTCAAGACTGTTAAAGAACTGGAATCCCATCAATAAAACAATGTCTATTTTTTTTTCTCACTTACATCTAAAATTAGTTCTCAAAAGATTCTTTTTCCTATATAATAACTTACGTTATTAACCAATCCTGGCCAGCCAAACCCATGTATACTCTATTAAATGTTCACCCATTTCCAGGCTGGTTCCAATTTTTATATACCATTAGTATCGTGTGTCCTATAAGCGTTTTGTATTTAGCAAGACTCTAACAGTGTTAATTTTAAAGATGTTTTAACGTATAGCAAGCGATTTGGTACGGAATTAAATCCATCACATGTTTGAGGATACCCGTACTTTAATACATCTGACAGAGACTTAATTAATTCTAAATGACCACTCTGGTGGCATAGTGGTTATAACGTCCGCCTAGTATGCGAGAGGTCGCGGGTTCGAGTCTGCCGAGTCATTCAAAAGTAGTAAAATGACTACTAAAATGGTACTAAAAGCTACCTCGCTGCGCGCTAAGCATTGTTAGGACTGGTCGGCAGGGTATCAGGATAGTGTGACTGGATGGGATATCATGCCCCAGTGTTATAAAGTGCCACACTGTAGACATTGTAACGATATGACTAAACAATTGTTAAAGCTACGTTAAAAATCCAAATCACACACAGACACACACACAGACACACACACACACTTCTTAATGAGTGTGTCAGGCAAAACTGGTCAAGGTGTAAAGTTTTGGTTTTGTTTATCAAAATATCAGAATCAGCGTGTATATTCGCTGAAATATTTGTCATAAGTTGAAACTTTGCAGAGATCTGGATATGAAAGAAAGTGGGAAGTAAAATCTACCAACCCTGGAGGGGCGTGTGTTATTAATGACATTTAGATAAACCTAAATTCTGATAGGACAAGTATTCGTCCGGGGAGTGGAGGGGACGGGTCCCAGACAAAGTCTCGTGTTTTTATAAATGTATTACAACGCAAAACTAGTCAGTCTACATTTTTGCGTATATTCCCATTTTTCTGTTATTATTCCGGTTTACATGAAATGACTCAAACAATAAAACAAAGTTAAATTAAATACTCTACAGTATACAATTAGTTTCAAGGATTTTGTGAGTTGGGGCCCTAGTGGCCGAGTGGTCTAAAGCGCTGTCCGTTACGGATCACTGCCATCTCACCTCTGTGTGAGTTCGAGTCTAGGATTCGGCGAATGTGGATATGTGAGAAAGCTTGCCAGTAGCTTCTCGTGGGTCGGTGTTTCTTTCCGGTGATTTCCCGGTTTCTTCATCCACCATTAATACTGGCCGCCATGAATAGCCAGCCTATCGTTTGCTGAAAAATGGCGATAAGCCCAACAACAATAACAACAAGGATTTTGTGTATTAGCGATGGCTCTCTGTGCAATTTTATTAGCTCTTTCTCGCAAATTCTTAGGGGTTTTTATTAATTATTCTCCATGTTGAAACGATGTTATATTCTCCATGGGACTATGATTCAAGGGTCCTAATCCAAAATCCGTGTTTGAGAGATCCCATGTACAGATAAAAAAAAATATCCTAAATCTTAAACATTTTTCGTTACGTATACTTGCAATACCAACAACTCATACAAAAATATGGCAAATTTCCCGTCAGTGATTTAACTATATTTACAGACAGAATGCTCAGACGGACAGAATTATGATAACTAAATCCCCTGACACTGAAGTCTTTTCAGAATCATCCTATAAATATTTATTTATGTGAGTATCAACATCTCATGACTATCCGGTTTTGGTGAGATTGTAATCCTTAAGAGAGAGGAATAAATAAATAAATAAATAAATAAATAAATAAATAAATAAATAAATAAATAAATAAATAAATAAATAAATAAAGAAGGTTTGTTAATTGCCAATATAGTTGGATAAAGACTTTTGGAACAATAAATAAGAATGGTGGTTTTATGGGCTTTTTATGTTTTTAGTGTATCCTGCGAGATATTGCAAATTAACCAAGACGCATGTTTTAGCTAGGGAACCGTAGTTGTGTTTTCGGTGCTTATAATTTACAATATATGGACCCGGCCAGCTGTTTATCTTTGGTAATTAATCTAAGATGTCATCTGTTGTAATAATGGATCGTTACTGAAATGTCCAATTATGACAACAAATAGCGTTGATTACATTATTTCAACACCCATTATGCTAACATCTCGTAACTTTCACAGTGAACCACTGTAGCTGTCTACTATGTTCTGTATTTCTACCGTTTGGGTGATTATCATCCAATCAAATAAATTGTCAATATGCCAAGAGGAGACTTAGGCATGGAATGATCCAATACAGAATGTTGACTTGTCCACTATTAAAACTATGTGCATGGAATTTAAAGATATAAAAACCGGTATCACTCATATCAAAATTTAGAAAGAAATAATGGCAGATGTAAAGATGACGTCTAGAATGTACACACAGAAAATGCAAAATAGAACAATGCAGATTAGAATATACAGTATATCCTAATAGAAAACACATGCATATAATTATGGCGATAATTCCCTCCATAATTTCAAGGCTCTTGATAATTTCTAATATTATAAAGCAGGGTGAGTATTGCATAATGTTTTTAAAGTGTAGTTAATACTGTTATTAGTCACTAAGTGTTTCTCGTGGCTTTATTTAACACTAAATCCACAGGAATAAAATCAATGCCGGATGAAGACTTTCCAGGGCCCTAAGCAGTGAAAATATTATTGTGTACCCACCCAGACAAAATGTGAAACTAAAACAATATTTAAAGCTAAAAATCGAAGGAAAATACCAGTGTTGCCATCATTCCAAATCAAAATACTAGTACATGTAGATCGAAATGGTCATAAAAAATTAATTTAATTTTATCGTCAACAATTAATTTAATTTTTTTCTGGTGCCACTGTTGCGCCGATGCCTAAGCAAGTGCTTATTGTGCTTAATGGGTCATCTGGCACTGAATAAAATACATGCTAAGCTTATTTGTGTTAAATCAAACAACAAACGTATCTTCACTTCACACATTTCAATTATTCTTGTCTTGCACACTCTGATAAAAAACGAAGTATTGTGCTAAAGTATACCTCTGCACTTTGAAAGCAAATTAAAATGTTTCGACTTACAGATTATAACAACCGAAATATGAAACCGAAATATTAATCATACAATTATGTTTAATACTGTCAATAATAGAATGCGACTTAAATTTGTATCCCATCCCATAATATCAAAGTTAGAATTCAAGAAAACCTATTAAACCAAGAAATATAAGAAACCTCATGGAGTTAGTTCTAAGTTCACTAAGCCCACTTACAAACACAATATTTAAAGTGGTCCATGGTACAACGTAGAAGTACTGTCCAAATAATATCAAATAATATGCATACAAGTTTGATCTCAAACAGCTCAAAAACTGATTAGTGAAAATGAAAGAGTGTTGTAAAAAATCGAAATATAGCACCGTGACATTGAAATAAAACCCCTGTTGCAGATCACAACTCACTGCCAATGACGATACATGTTTATGCCGAATAACCAACAGCTCTTTAGTTACACGGTCAAACCGTGACCTTGACGCTGCAAAGAGGGTGATGGAAAATTTCAATATTGATCTAGGATCTTGAATCTGAATCGGAAATCCTCGTTAGCACAAGTTACATCTTTTAGTGATGAACATACCAAGTTTCATCTTCTAATATCGAAGGCTTTCATGTTAAAGACCGGAATGGGAAAATTCAGGGTCGTTACATCGACCTTGAAGGTAGCATTCCCATTGTGGTTAAGGCATCATACCATTAACTGCTTCTGTTATGAGTGTACCAAGAGTAATTTCTTATTCCCAAATGGCTTTAGTGTTATTCAGCGGATGGGTAAAGGTGATGCAAATCATAAAATGTGGAGCCGTAATCTTGATCTTTATTAAGGCGATACCACTTGTAGTGACGATGAGTGAGCCAAGTGTCATTCAATAATCCTAAAACGCTTGGAAGCTATGCAACGGAATGGATGATGGAAAACTGAAGATATTGGACAGTGATATTGACCTGGATGTTAAAGATAGCCACTCTCCCCACCCACTCCAACCCCCCATCGAGGCACCTTCCAAAAGTGTACAAAGTTTTATTCTATCATCACAAAAGAACTGTATTGTATCTAATCCAACTTCGGCTGATGTTGGATATCGCTTCGGATTTCGCCAGATCGCTATTTGCATTTGTACCTTGCTGCATAGTTTAGTAAATTAGCAACTATATTCTCTTTTCTTTTTTTTTAATTCACGAAACCGTGCATTATTCTACAATTACAAATTACGACTTTACGAATTTGGAAGCGATAACAAACATCAGCATTCTGAATAATTATTACAGTTATAAAGCTTAAATTTTTAAAGCGGAAATGACAGTGTCACGAACGGGAGGGACGGAAGGAAACGCAAAACTCCCACTTTGGTGGGATACTTGACAGTTTGTTGATTTTTTTAAAAAATACTATTTATTTCTTGAAATTTTTGGAAATTATGACACAATATGAATAGATTTGTTTAAGAACATGGATCCACAGTTCTTTTAAGATAATCTTTTCATGACATTTATTTAATCACGATAACATAACGCCCATAACGTGATGCCGCGACGTACACCAGAGTCTGGACATTTTCCATAAAGACTGAACTGAGCTGAATGAATATTGCATGAATCCTTCGTGCATTCATACGTTTATCTCTACGTTCTCTGTGATTAACATATTACCTTCATCAATTTGCCCTTTGTTTGACAGAGAAAATACAAACATCCAAAATTTCTCTCTTAATGCATTTTCCAGGGTTAATAGGTTATAATTACTCACCTGTTATCTCAGATTTGTGCAACTGCTGTGTCCCATTCCGTGCCTCTGCTCTTTTTCTTCGCTCAATTCATTGTACAATTTTGTTTCTTAGACGATGTTGAATTTCGAACTATTTGGTGGAAGCTGTCACAAAAATGTCCCATATCGAACAGGTGTTGCCATGGTTGCGCCATGTCTGCTTAGTTTGGTGCAGTGGGAATTCTGCGAAGATTCTTAAGGGTTTAGGTGAGCCGTCAAAAGAATGATCTCCTCGGATCCACCGTAGCTACTGCAAAATCTTTACCCGTAATTAGAGTGATATTATTTTATGTCCACAGGATGTAGACGAGTGTTGCTTAAGGGCTAATGGTAATACGAATAGGCTTAACAGGGTAGGTGGATGCAGTATGCGCAAATATTACGTATTGTACTTAATAAGTGAATAGATCCAATTATTAGCTTAGAAAAACTGTCATTTAAATACTCTTGGATAAAGTTTAAAGTGTTATTTAAATGTCCTGTAAGAATCTGTTGTTCTTGAAATGTATTTATATGGGCTAAAATAGACAAGTTGGTATTGTATTTTACGCGCAATAAATTATAGTATTGCGATGGTATGGA